TATTGTCGTACCATTGGATTCAATGAAACTTTTGAGAATACCGAACTGAAATAACAAAGTGTCCTGGGTTTAGCAGTAGCACTCATTTTTTTCCCTCTTAGTAGCTGGTGCAGCGCTGTGTTTTGACTTTTGGCATGGGAACAGAGCTGATAACACTGATGTTTTTAGTTACTGCTCAGATGTTTAGACTGGCCATAGGACTTTGTGAGCCTCATGCTCTGCCAGGGAGGAGGGGAAGCCGGGAGGAAGCAGAGACAGGACACTTGACCCAAACTAGCCAAAGAGGTATTCCATATCACAGCGCGTCATGCCCAGGGGAGGTGACAGGGAGTTATCCAGAAGGGCACGCTCTTCTTGGTTGAGCTCTTTTCAGCGAGTGGTATCGTATTCTCTTCCCTTGCTATTTCCCTTATAATTGTTATTACTGGTGGTAGCAGCAGTGGTTTGTTATACCTTAGTTACTAAACTGTTCTTATCTCAACCTGTGGGAGTTACATTCTTTCAATTGTCCTCCCCATCCCTCTGGGAGCAGGGTGCGGGGGGAGGGGAAGGAAAGAAAAAGGCGGGGGTGTAGTAGAAACTGTGTGGCTGACTGGGTTTAAACCACGACACAAAGCTACGAAGGTGAACAGTCACATAAACTAGACTTCACAGGATGTTCATAAGGTCTGGACATTGAGTGGTTGCTTAGCAACGTTAATCAAGGGAAATAGAGAACAAAGTAAGCACATATAAATGTGTTCCCTGAGTCTTTAGGTGTGCAAATATGGAGAGCTCCTTAGGGGAAAATACCTACACATTTACGAATCCAACACTATTCTCTCTTTGATTTTCATTCTCAAATTCCAAAGCAATTCTAACTTCAGCATTTCTACTGTATCCCTCAAAATGGATATTTTGAAATTAATTTCCTAGACAGCTCTGTGGAGTGAATGCATCTGTGTATTCTTTCAATTAAGGACAATGTATGAAGGTATTAGCACTTTTGCTCATAATTTTTACATCTTTATTACAATTATGTATTTAAAGACAATATCCCTGGATTTGTTCTCCTTATCTGAGGATGTCCATACATCAACTTTTAAAATTTTCAAACTTTATTTTTTAAAACCTTATTAACAAAATCCTTTTTTTTCCCTTTTTTTTTTTTTAAGGAGATGAAAATCTCATATACACAAATGAACCATACTAGGCATGCAACAAATCTCTGCATTTTTCCCTGAGTATTTAATATCACTCTTATATTTTATTACAAATAGATTTCACTTCCTGAGAAATACTGTTTCACAGTGGAGAGTGCCTAAGCTTGAAAAACAGTCTATATCCAGAAAAGAAAGGAGAAATTTTAAAAAAGATATGAGGTGGGGGGGGGGGGACGGGACGGGGGGGAGGAGTGGCAGAAAAACAGATTCAAGAGCAGAAAGAGAAAACATACAACTAAATAATGCTCCATTCTGCTAGGCAGCTGTCCTGAGTTCAGCTGTAGCAGTTATTTTTCTCCTTAGTAGCTGGCACAGTGACGTGATTTCAGATTTAGTCCGAGAACAATGCTGATAACACATCAAATGTTTTTAGTTGTTGCAAGTAATGTCTACTCTGATCAATGACTTTTTCAGTCTCGTGCTTTGCTAGTGAGAAGGGGCACAGGAAGCTGGAAGGAAGCAGAAACAGGACACCTGGCCTAAACTAGCCAAAGAGGTATTCCATACCACAGCACGTCATGCCCAGTATATAAATTGAGGTCAGTTACCCAGACGGGCTAGATCACTGTTCCGGTCAGTCTGGGTATAAGTTGGCAGGTGGTAAGCAATTGTATTCCCTTCACTTGTTATTTTCTTATCATTATTATGGTGGTAGCCATAGTGTTTTTGTGTTACATCTTAGTTACTGGCCGTTCTTATCTCAGCCCATGGGAGTTATATTCTTTCGATTCTCCTCCCCGTCACTCCTGGAGTGGGGGAAAGAAGAGGAGGGAGTGAGCAAGTGGTTGCGTGGTTCTGAGTTACTGGCTGGGCTTAAACAATGACAGCAACCTACAAAAAATATTGGATCAAAACTATGATTTTTCAGAGGAAAATACTTTAATACTGACTTTAGCAATAGCATTCATCAAATAGCATAGTGCTTTCTTGCACCTGCCATATACAGCTACTAAAGTGAATATTAAACAATAGAAGCAATTGTCACAATACAAAAAGTACACTCCTTTCCATGTAAGATGAAAACACATAGCTAAATCAGATGATAGGGAAAAGCAATTAGGAAGGACAACTTTCCGGTAATGAAGCAGCAGGGCTTGTTAGGTCATTTTAATTATGCATGCTAAGGTCTGACTTGATGCACAGAAAACTGGAAGATTAATAGTTGCACAGTAAAAACAAATCAGAAATCAGAACACTTTATTAATGCTCTTCCATGCTTGGTCTGAATCACAGTTGTCATATATAAATATATGAGATCATTTATGCTCAGGGATTTGTGGCATTTTTTCTCTTTCTGTGTGCTACTTGTATGGACTCAAAAATAAGAAGTCAAGTATACCAAAGTAAAGTTTCTTGAAAATAGCATGTGCTTCTGCTTCCCAGAATAACTTTCCGTTAATACAGTACAGATGACAGTATTGTTAATATTTAACAAAAATATTCAGTCTTCATAATTTAAGATCCACACTTGGAAATTTGACTTGGAACATTGTAAAGAAAGATGAAATTTTATACCCATATTTTATCACACTGGGATACTAACGGTCAGATAATTATAGGAAAATTACATAGTAATTACAGAGTTATACAAGACTACTGAAAACAAACTGAAACAAGAATTATGACTGCGAACTCTATGAATCATAAATAAGGGAACGCAATGTCAGAGTTTGATAGTTCTAACTCTGTCATGATGGCTAAATGGGAAAGTCAGACATATTGTGGCAAAGTCAGAGGTTGGAGCACATAGCACCACCAGAACTTACAACTTTGTGATACGTAACTGCATTGGAAACCAGGTAATTTTCACTGAGGTCCCTAAATGCTCAGACATATACAAATCTCAGGTTTTAATTTGGCAAATTCTCCGGTTTCAGGGAATTTAATACCTGATTAAATGCCATTTAGCTATGTGGCTCAAGCAAAATGCACTCCCATTAAGCAGGTTTATTGCTAAGATTTTTCCTAATAAGCTGTAGTCATTATCAAGCAGTAAAAATAAAACAAGTTCTCAGTTCAGACCATATCAGTTAGAGTATTCCACAACAGCACCAATATCTGTGTAGAATCTTTAATTCCTGAATGCATTTCTGACTAAATACACAACACTGAAACAAGTCAGATTTTACCAGCTTAACTTTAATTAATATGTCAATAAAATTACTTATTGTATTCTGAACACAGGAGAAAAAATATGTAATTATGTCATGATATAACTTCCTTTTACACCTATTGTTTTCTGTGTCTAATGGCCAAATTATAAAAGCTCTGTAAGCACTCAACACTTTTAAAGATTAGTAGGCCTTTAAATTGTATCTGCATATCTCAGGTTCCTAAAACTCAGGTAATCGCAGTACATTCAGGTGCTTTATCAACATAAAGAATCCCCATAAAATGTTCATCACAGGCTGCATGAATACATGGTTCCACTTGGATTTACAAAGAGAACTATTAAGGGTCCAGAAGAGAAACCCGAATATTTTTCATGAACTTCTTTGTCTTTTCCTACCCTGAGGTGAAGTAATGGCATAAAGTATGGTCTTATACATTCATCTAGCAATAACAGGTTTCTGCTTCACATCAGAAGCTTTTCCAAGAACAGCACTTTCTTTACAGCACCAAAAAAGATAAAATAAATGTGACTGGCCCACAGAACTCTATTCCAACATTTATTATTCTATTGTTTTATTTACCATGGCCCTAAGTTCTCATAAAGTAACTATCGCTACTGATCTTGGTAACTATCTGAAGGTTTGAAATCAATTATGTCTTTGATCACTGCATAAAATATACAACTACAATGAGTGATTTGACCTGTTAAAAATTTAAATTATAAAAGGTAAAAAATCAAAGAATGAAAATATTAATGCAAACAAGGAAGCATGAAATAGTGAGTTAAAATACTAATCAGCATCTAATATGTAAGCCAGATGCATGTGTCACACAAATCTGAAAGTTTGGTGGGTTCATTTGGTTATTTGTAATTATTTACAGAAAACAATGTAACTTTTAAAGTACTATACTATGGGAAGTGCAAGACACTGTATACAAGCAATTATAAGGAAAGTATTTTACTCTACAAAGGATAATTTTCTAAAAAAAAAGATGAAAAGGAAATTAGCTTCTTAAAATATTGATTGTCACTTAGTATCTAATGACTATAAAATCTTTGAAACTTGTAAGTAGAAAAATTTTGTTCAAATGATTAGCCATGTTATGTGGCTCAATTAACACAACAACTTTCTTTGAGAAACTTCGAGAAAAAAGTTTGCTATTTGTCAAATGGAACATGCAAACATTTCTAAAACAAATATTAAAAAAAAATCCAAAGAACAGTGGAACTCTGACAGCAAATATATTACAAATTGCTCAAAGTGGAAATTAGATCTTTCAACAAACTTGAAAAACTAAAGGGCTCCTAATGTAGGATATATTTAAAAATAAATCCTTTCCTGAGTTTGTAATTCTAGATTTAATTCCAAGTAATGAGCAGAAACTCACTGAAAACCTAGGAATGAAAATTTATTTGCAGGTATGTAATTGTGTCTAAATGAATTAGATATTTAAAATATGGCATTGTCACTTGGAGAAAATAAAGTAATTTTGAAAGAAAGTTAATATGATCATGTATTCAGTCTACAGATAAGCAAAAACACCACAGTTACTCTCTTACTCATGTTTATAATAATATTTGGTTTCATACCTCAAAAAAATTTAGTAACAGAAATAAAATGTTAAAAGGTTTTTTTAGCTTCACAAACATATACAAAGAAAGGAACTAAACAATGATATTCATACCGTCATAAATCCATCCAGCAGACCTGAATCAGGCTTAGGAGGTGCTTGCAAGCGCTCCATAGACCACTTTTCAATGATAGATGACACCTGGGTATTTTCCGTGTTTAGAATTCTGAATCCAGTCATATTAACACCACTATACCGATAGGGTTCCACATCCAAGGCAAACAGGTCCTGAAAAAAATGGCCATCATATAAATTCTTTAATACACTGTAATTCCCATTTCAATTGTTAGACCATCTACCTAGATGAGGGCACTGAAATTTGCAGAGTAACAATGCTATACATATAGGATGCATATATGCTAGGAAATATGCTTTGTTTGCATGGAGCCTGTGACTGTGTGCAAGGAACTGAGCTGAGCCTATAGTGGGAATAACCTGATTCAGAGCGGAAGAACAGCTTCAACTGCCTTTTTTAGGGGAAAAAAAAAACGCAAACCAAAACCCAAACCAATAAACAAATAAACAAAACAAACAAACAAAAAAAAACCAACAAACAAAAACCAACAAAAACCAAACAAACCAAAACAAAACAAATTTTCAGGAAATGCTAAATCCAGTTGAAGAACTGTATCCACTACTAGTTAAATAGATTAAATATTATTATTATTATTTGCTAAAAATACTATTATTAATTGCTACTTCTTTGGCTTACCATAGCAGACTTCAAACCATAAAATAAACAGAACAAGACTTTCCCTGTGCCTTCACTTTCTATGAAACTTGAACATGTCATTCTTTATATGATAAACTGGGGAGGAGAAGGAGGAGGGGGAAGGTATCTGGCTTTAAATTTAACCAAAATAATTTTTCACAGCTATCACTCATACTTCCAAACATGGATATATCTTTAACTAGGAATTTATCTCTGCAAGAATAAACTTTGCCAATTAATGTATTTCAATACATACATACTTGTGTCTGTACACTTAATCCCCCAACACACAAAGAGGCATATATAAACTAAAATATATAAAATTAATCAAAATTTAGATCAAGCAAGTAAAGTTGAAATTATCCTAATCCTTTGACAGAATTCTTATAAACCAGTACTTGTCTTCAGGAAACCCAGGTCTAAAATCATGTTTTCAACATGGGGAATTAAAACAGGTATGAAGTTGATGAAAAAAAAAACACACTCATGAGTCACTAGGCCTAGCTATGTCCATTATAAACAAACTTTCTGTTTCCTTTTAAATATTTTTTTTAAGTGACATAATTAAGGTTCTGCTTAAGACATTACTGTCTTGTATCATAATTTTAGTTTAATTGACCATAGGAATTTTCCACATAATTCATAGTCATTCATCTCATTCTCTTAAATTTTGCTGGCACTGTAACATATTATAAATTTCCATGGAATTGAAGTGTTAGGTTTAACACTTTTCTGAGTCCATTTTGTTTATTGGTTAGAGATGAAGAAGATTAAATACTGCGCTACAGAAAGCCAGACTACAATTCATTATTCATTGTTAACATCAATAAGCCCACAAAAATATCAGCCTGTTTTAATTACAGCTAGCAATTATAACACCATCTTCCATATATAATACTTGAGATATGCAACTATGGTATATCTTTCCTCTAAAAATTCTCTGGTTTTATTGCAAAAAAGTCAGAACCTCAGATGTAATTATTTCATCCAAACACATTAATGTTTACACTGGAATATAATAAATATACACAACAATATTATGCATATATTTTAAATACACATGGGTCAGTGTATTAATGAGCTACTGAATTAGACTCTGAATCAATGAAGATGAAAATACATGGAAGATTGCTGCTAAAACTGTGACTGGAAAAATCTACTTGACAGGACTTTCACTATGTCAGATAAGAAGTAATTAATAAATCAAACAACTGAAGTCTGACGGTAGTTCAAAAGCTACATTGCGAATCTACCATCCATTTGTGTGCAATAAATTACCTTTTCATAGCTCCAAGTCAATATAATACTTGTCTCTCCAAAAAAAAAAAAGCCAATGTTCTAATAAGGAAATAAGAATGACAGAAACCAGTGATTTTTAAACATAGCTTTTAATGTAAAAATTAAATGCCAGTGGACAGTAGACCACTCAAAAAAGCTATTTTCACCAAGAGAAAAATGAAAAGTGAAGATTTAAAAAATTCCCTGGAATCATCTAGAATCCACTTTGATAGACTGTTGAAAGAAATTCTGTTGTATGAAATCCTAAATCTGTAAGTGATAGAAAACTTGCTCTTCTAAAGTAAGACAGCTACTTGTGCAGGATATTTTGCCTTTACAGTTTCAATGAACATCACAGATTATTTTGCAATAAATTTCTACTCAATAGCTTATTTCCATGCTAATACTTTCCATGAACTTTTGTGGTTTTGAAATGAACTTTCTATCCTATCACAAAGCATATATTTCCATAAGGACTTAAACATGTATGCGACTTTAAACATAAGTCATTTCAAGCATGGTTTTACCAAGGCACATCTGTCTCGTGTTTTAAATGACTTGTAATTTAAGAACTTTAGTGAACTTCAATCTAAACATGCAAATTTGAATACAATGGAAAACAGAGAAAAGCACACACCTGTAGTTTCTAAAGTACTATTTTATCTTTTAAACTATTTCTTAAGCTGTGGTGAACATTAAAAAAAGGGACTTCGCATACATGTTATATTTTGTAAGAACATTCTCATTTTAAATGTTCATTTATTGCAAATGTTAAATCTGATGGTTCCAAGAACGGTTCCTTCCTAGTTACTTTTTCAATGGACACCAAAAATACTGCATAATTTGTGTGCCTAAAAAGTTCATGTGGATTGTTAAATAAAATGCTGGTAATATTCACATCAAATTATTCAGGAATTATATGACACGAAGAGGTACCTTGTAAAATGTTGTATTAAAAATATGGAAGATAAAAGTTTAAAATCTTCACATGCAACTATCTAAAGGAGATAAAGTATGAAATTCGTGACATAAATAATCAATTGTGAATTATATACTTAACCCTGCTTTAAAGTTAAAAACTGCAGTGCTAGAGTCAGTTGCTTGTTCAGTACTATCAGTTTCCCAGGGCTCACAGTTGAATAATAATTAAACTGTCCTGATGAGTTTTCACTGAACATAAGAAACAGAGAAAACATCTTGTACTCATACCTCGTTCCAGAGAGACCTTTTTCACTTTGTCAAGTAATATAATTAAGTAAACTAACATCTTTGTTAGATGTCATCACTATGTTTCTACAAGCCACTTACCAGTGTTGTAAAGATATAGTGATAATATTCTGTCATCATTCCCATAGCTAAAGCCTTGAAAAAATAAACAAAAGATTAATGTTTCTGAGGTCACATAATACATTTTTATCACACTTACATGGCCAATGAAAAGCTGCAAAAGAACACTATTGGGATAAGACTATAGGGTTGGAATTATACTAAAATTAGGTCAAGCAAGTCATTTCCTAGCAGTTAGAGCAGATTACTGACTATTAAAGGAATTTATGAACCAGATCTTCCGATGGAAAGAATATTATTAGACTGTTTAGTGCAGTAAATGTGAAAGAGCCTTATAGTTTTACATACTAATGGATGCATTAAGTTACCACACAAAATTTGAGTCGACAATATATTCATTCATTATTGAACCCTTCCCTTAAAAACAATAACCTAATAAGAAACAGTTTTTCTATTTTGATAAACAATACTGTGCATTTAAAAGAAGGACCCAGGCTTATATTATCCGTGTAGACATTTTTCCAGGCATGGAAGAAAATATTCTTGAGTCAAGTTTGGAACAGCAAGATACATAATACTTCAGTAAAAAGAAAGAACAAATATTCACAGCATTACACTAGAAACTCAGATATCTATCAAGTACCTTCACCTGTCTTGCTAACTATGCAGTACCACATATATTTGGATTAACTGCGCATTTTTAAATGAACAGTTAAGCATAAGAACAAATATTTGTAGATACAATTTTAAAGCTGTAAACTATGGATGTGTCATCACTCTTAAGCACATGTTCACCTGAGAATCACATCTGCATGCTCTGCACAAAAATTGCCTTAGACTAGTATGATTTATTCAATCATTTCATATCTACAGTTATTTTTACCCAATCTTGGCACTGTAAAAAGGCTACACAAGTAAACAATATCTTTTTTTTTTCCTTTCCAGGAATAATCAATGGAATTCTTTGCCAAGTTGCTACCAGATACACCTCTTTAAATCTACTGAAGGCAACAATTAATTCTCACAATACCAGAATATTTACACAAAGCAATCATCAGAGTTCTGGAGGATTTGGGAGTGTTTTTACTTCTGACATTGTCTGAAAAATTATCAGATTACCAGTCTGTAAACTGTCCAAATAAAAGTTAAAAGCTAAAACGTATTCCAAATATCAGCTGCAGGTTAGGTTTTATGATAATTTAGACAGGACTTTGACAAAAACTGCAACACTTTTCTAACAGATGCCTATACTTGTGCATTTAGATTCCCACAGTAATATTTAAAATACTCCTAAATACCTTTTAAGAAAAATGTATTTTCAAATCTTAAGCACATTTTGTTTTCAATTTAAACAATGCTAGCAAACATAATAAAAACATGAAGTCACTAAAAGCTATGCATTATAAATGTAGGATATTGTCTTGGTTTAGGTCTCCTTCCTGTCCTCCTTATTGAAAGACATAGTGCAATTAAAAACTATAGGGAAAATGGCCTCTGAGCATAAGAAATTCCCAGTCTTGGGAGCTAGCTCATAAAACTAAAGACACAGAAAGGCTTGTCTTCTATGCATATCACTGTATTGTCTTTGCATACCAATATATTGCCACCTTCTCTTGGAAGACATCACTGGAATTCTCTTCTTTATTATGAAACCAGTTAAATTTGTGATTTTGTTGTATCTCACCTACTCATCTTTCTTGAACACAGCAAAGCAAACACTTTCAGACCACCTGAACAAATGCATTCAGGTGTTTTGTAGTCCTATTAGTAGTGCAAGGAAAATACGTTTCTAAAAGGTATCTATTAGTTCTGTCCTCTCAGTAGAATTCATTAACGTGGCCTGCTGGTAACATACTATTTAAATATCACCACCTGATTAAAAGTCACAATATAGAGGCTTCAATTTGAAATAAATAAACAACAATAATAATAATCTAAGCAAGCATTTAAAATCATAATTTCTTCAAAGTACCAATTTTTCATAGTTGAAAGACTGATGTACCTTTTTCCCTATATACAAACTGATTAATCTGTTCCTTTAAAAAAACATCACGAAAGCACCTACCATTAGTGTCACCAGTAAAATTATCTCTAACATCCTTGACTGATTTTCAGTTAAGGCTCAATAAACTGGCATACAATTTCCCTGCTTGTTAAATGCTATTATTTTTATTTATTAGGAATGAAAAATATTAGGCCATCTGAAGCAAAATAAGGATTACCTGTTTCAAGATGCCTGCTGCCATTTCATGGCTGCAGTCAAATATTACATGGAATTCCCTGCCTCTTTTCATCTCCTTTAGCAATGGCTTTGCATCTTTTGTGTCAGCTGGTAACTGACGGATTTTTAGTCTCAGGTTGTATCGTGATGGAGCCTTGATGAGCTCTTGTAATCGAATAAGGCCTTAAAGAAAACATAGTTAAAAGAAAAGATTATCAATACAAGAATCTGAACTGCTAGCAGGAAAACTTACTATAAACATTCAAAGTTTCCTGAATTTTTCTCCCTTCTCAGTATGTTGCAACTAACACACAACAGATTTATTAAAAAGAAAAAGGAAAAATTAAGTATCTGCACTCCGAATATTTTCTTATCACAAGTCTTTCTCAATATTAACAGACAGAAAGCAGCCTCAGCTAGGATTACCTGAAGACAGACAAATCTTGCTTTAACATGATCATGCAACCGTGACATTCCTCTTCGAAGAATGCATAATTATTCTAATTCAATTAAAGCAATATCCCAGACTATAGTTTGTAATCAGACTAGCCAGTCTCTAATCTGTCAGGTTTACATATGAAGCTGTGTGTGAGTCACCTCAGCAGGGAAAAGCACCCTCACATAATTCATGAGAGTATTTATTTTTTTTCTTGATAATACCGGTAATAAAAAATACGCAGCAGCAAAGAGGCTGAATAAATGACTCATGCTGTTTCATTCACCTTCAATACCCTACATTTTCATTTTGGATTACTTTACTTTTACTTTGAAATTAGATGCAGCGACATTTCTCAAAAAAATATCTGATTGCTTGCATCAGTATGATAGTGTGTGGTGTGGTTTACAAGTCACTGACTGGTCTGTGACCAATATTAAATATTAGGTTTATTAACTGTACTAAAATGACAAGGTAAAACCAGGTCTCCTATTAATTAAGAATTTATTTCTGTGTTAGAAAAACAAGTGTTCTGCTAACTTACTTCTTGCACTGGCACATGCTCCATTTAATGGCAATAACAAGGGTTACTTATCATCATTATGTTTGCAGTGCACATATATAATACACCCAATTGCATAAAAATGGAAATTCTGCTTAAGATTTCACTTTAGATCCCAGGCATAAATGTAGTACTTCTAAAATCTGAAATAGCTCACTTTACAAAAATATTAACAGGTGACTAATTATTATTTAGTTATTATCTCAGGCAGCACTATCTAGTATTTAAAAAAATGGTATTTTATATTATCAATAAATATTCTTCAGATATTCTGTCAAAGCCATCTTGTTTTCATGCAATGATGCTGTTGTAATGTAATTTGGAACAACACCACAGCATAAGTAAGAAATTGTGATAACCTCCGACAGAGGATTTAATACAGCCTTTTTTCAACATACATTGTACTTTAAGTAACATAAAACTGACATATTTTAACATTGCTCTCATTTTTTGCTATGAAGATTTTAGATTGTAAAAAACATTAGCTCTAATCATTTCCAGCAGAACCATACCAGTAGAGAATGTAACTGAAAGATAAAATCAGTCTCTTCTGTTTCACCATTCCCCCTTTTTGACCCTGCAAAGGATCCACATATTTCTTCAACAGTTTCTGCTAAAATTAGCTGAAATTAGAACAGGAATTACACCTTACTATATAAAACCTTCCTAAATTAAGACTGCAGGTGTGGGGATCTGGCAGAGGATTCCGGTAGAACTCTTAGGCCCAAAGCCAGGCTGGGGAAAGACAACCTTGTTATCTGGTCAATTTAGGAGTTTTTTCTTCACTCACAGGTCTATGTCACAGACACAGTATCTCCTATTTCATCCAATTTCTCAGTAATACTCCCATCACACACATTCTCAAAAATGTGTGTATTGTTCAAACTGAGACAATTGCTACCAATAGCTAAATTATCTCCAATTTTCATTTTCTAAAAACATTTCTATAGGATCTTTATTAACAGCTAATGCACTGTAAAGAACTAAATCCAGTAATACAGTGCAGGCTGATGTTTTCCATAGAAAATTATAATGTGAATAATGTCAACTGCCTTTTGTACATAACACAACAATATAAAAATTTTGAAGTCAGAGTAAAATGTTTTAACTCAAGAGAGAGAAAAAATAATTCCACGTGTTCCAGATTATTTGTCATTGCTTGCTAAAAGTAGACAACTGAAACCTTTTGTACAGAGCAATAACTTGTAAATAATTTTAGACTTGTCCTGCTTTCTTTGCTTCATTTTGTTTTGCTTGCTCTTGAAGTGGAAAAAAACCCCATCATTAAAGAATCACAGAAACGTCCCTATATTTACTGGCAATCTTTAGTAGACACGCTGAAAGCAGAACAGATACAGAAACTGAAGTAGATTCTCATGACTGGACCTGGTCCCTAGACCTGATAAGTGCTTACTAAGACATAGAGAAGTGACAGCCAGGTTACATGTGATGTGTGAGTAATGGCAGATGTAAGCCTACATGGTTGTGAAAAGAATACTTTTCATTGCTAATTCTGATTTTTACAAAATTGCCACATTTATCTCAAATCCCATAATGACATTTACATAACATGAGTTAATGTATCTAATAGAAACTTAAATAGATTTCACACTTGATTTCTAAGAAATCTTGAATAAGTATACTTAAAAGCTATATAGTAGAAGTGTCTTTTCTAACTTACAGATCTACTGCATTTTGTTACCATTTACAGATAACCTGGGACAAATATGTGAAACTAAAGCTTTGAAAAACATAACATACCCCATAACTGTTGACTACTTTATCAAAAATAACTGACAATAACATGTCAAGAAAAATGCTACAGATTGTCCCTGTCTTTCCCGTTTTCCTTAAGACTAAGAAAAGTGAAGCAACTGGAATGTATGCACTTGCAGTCAAAAAATTTAAGACCATATTTCAAAGCAGAGTCCTTCTCAAAGACAAAGTGCTGACACTTGTTCACTTGCTCTGATATCCGTGCCCTTCCAGTTGAGAACTATAGATCACAAGAGTAGCAATTTGGGACAGGTAGTCTATCTCTGCCAGAAAAAGAAAACTGCATTATGAATACATGAGGTTAAAGCAACAGGAAGTTCTTAAACACAGCTTTATGTGGTAAGAAAAAAGATTATAATCAGTTTTGCAAAACAAGTATTGATCTTTCAATGGGAGAGCATTAAGTAAATTACAAAAGTCCACAATTTGCTCAAAAAATCACACCCATGAGACGTACAGAAAAATTGAACCTTATTTAAAGATAAACATAGCTGGTGGAAATCTGCTAAAAGAGATTGAAGATTATGAGATTCAAAACTGCACTGCTGTTTGAGTCTCAAGTGGAATCAATGATTACAAAATACACATATACTCAAAATGAGGAAAATCAGAACTATGTCTCACCCACACAGTTGTTTTTTTATAATAACATAATGACTTTTCCCTCAGGATTTTTTGTGATCTCAAATGTATTTGGCTTTTTTTGTTTTTTCCAAAGGAATCAAATTTTATTTTATTTGGGAGATAAGAAATTAATGAAATATTATAGACTATTCTTAAGTACACTCATTCAAATCTGCAGCTGGAGTTGCTAGTAGGAGACAAATAGACACTTGTTAGTATGATGGTTATGATAGTCATCTAAGAGAGGAACACCTGGGCTTTAGTCCCTGTTTTCATGTTTCTTTACTGAACCTCTTTTCAAGAACAGCAAGAGTCAAAAGGAGCTTTACTCTATCGTTCAAGTTTTGGAATCAGAATTGCTTCAGAACAAACAGCATGCCTGTGGAAGCAAACGTGAAATTAATTTCATCGTATTTGACATTAAAGTGATTAATGAGGTTCAAAACTTCTGTACAAGTACTGTACTTATTTTTAATACCTATCAGGTTAAAAGGAAATCTGTTTGTTCTTTCTTGACTACAAATTTTTCTTTCAAAATTCTCTTTACTTAGAAGACCAAAGTGCCTAATTTGTATTGATTACTCATTTTCAGGTGTTACATCAAACACCTTTGTTACACCTTTGGAGACAGGATGGACAGTTAAGATTGTTGAGGAATATTAAGATGGGATGGAAAGGAAAAAGGGAGGTTGACTTTCTCTGTAGGAAGTTCGTGAGTTCCAAAATTTTAGTAAAAAGGGTAGGATATTAAAAATTTACAAGTCCCTTTATTAGCCCCATGTCTTGCATCACTGCAAGAAGTGTTTTGTGGCCTATAGGAGCTTCTGAAGTAAATGTCTTACAATACTCTTCTGAATAAAACATCTACTGTATGGCTGACAAAAAAATACAGGGAGTGAGACAATTCAGAAGCTTCTTTCCAATCTCTGCTCTGTGTCAGAGCATTACCCAAGAAGGTGAGGTCCTCAAGAGCCTATCTTAGCTCTTCAAGAACTAAAAGAAGAAATTCCTCTTCTTTAGAAATCTTTTCATAATTGGGCTACCCCAGAGAAAGAAAAAAGTCCCACTAAAATATGAAATAGAAGATTTACAGTTGAAGGAAATAACATCTGAGTAATTAAAAACTGTCAAGGAATATATATGATAAGCATAGTGTGTGCTTGCTAGGTTACCTATGCATCTGAGAGAGAAGCGATGAGCAATAAACAAAGTACCACCCTCACTGTGAAGGCTGTACAAAATCTGTAGAGGCTACCAGAGGACCCTGAGTGTGAGAATGGGGGAAGAAAACCTGTGCATGTTCACCTCTCTAGTGTACTGACTGGAGCTCAGTGCTGGGGGAATACAGGTGTGCATGCAAACAAATAAGTATTTATGCCTTCGAAAACTGTCAGGACACGGAAATAGTAACCAGTGAGCTTTCTCAAAACATTTTAAGATAAAGCAAATCTGAGACATAAACAAATTCCAGGTGTTTCAAAACTAAGTTTTTTCTCCTGTCCTCATCAATGTGAAATAAAGTAAAAGCAACTTTAAGCTTTTACTTTGTAGTATTGTTGATCATATCATTTTAATCATTTTAATTCTAGTAATATTTACAGTTAAAATGTACTTCCATTTTTAAGATTTTAACATATATTTTTCATTGTGTTTCCAGCTACCAGCATTTATTAAGTTCAGATAATTGCACAGGGCACAAAACACGTTCCAGTCTACTAAATGACTCACTTAAGTAATCCACCAGGTCATCTGCTACAAGGAATATTTTTTCATCCTCATCCATAC